TCAGAGCAGGCAGGAAGCTAAAATTCTCCTTCAGACAACGATTGAATTCGATCAAGCTGATAAGCTAGTGTCGAAAATTCTGCCACCTTCTGGACTCCTAAAGGCTTCCTGGTCAGAGGCACTGCAGTGACATCAGTTGATGCCCTGAGCCACCTCTCCCGGTGCCGTCAATCGATTTTTCGGTATCAAGAACCCATAAAAATGGATTCTGGTGCCACTACATGTTAGAGGAAGTAATTTACTTTAGTAAATAATGTTTTTATGTGATATAACCACTGTGATAGTCTTATACAGGAATAAGATTTATCCACTTTTTCCTTACCAGGGCCCGGAATATGTTTTTCTGTCAAAAATTCGCCATTTTCCGGCACCCGATTACAATAATTTCTCTTCTTACGAAGTAATGACGAGAAAGTTAAAATTAGTTTCAGCACTGTTTAAGAGAGCTGTTTACATTGAATACACACTGTTCACAAAAATAGGTTTATTTGGGCACGAAGTACTTCATAAGGGGGTAAATGCTCTAATTTGCTACACCTGAGAGGAAAAAATCCACATGCTAATTCGTGTACATTCATTTACCGGGGTGATCTGATGCAGAATAACGTTAGCCTGGAGCTGCACAAAATGATTCGCAGAAGCATCAATTCAAACTGCGCGTCGAGAAAGAATCAGTAAACTGTTGATTTAGGATAGTCTCCAGGGGAGTTGAATTCATCATATGCGGCTATCTAAAGCATAAGACATTATTTCATACCGAAGATATGCTAAACATAATACTTCTAGCAATCCATTAATTCGAGCATTCCAGAAGTTTAGTTCATTTGCATAAAGCTTGGATAGTGTGGATCGTTCATTGTTACACCGCTGGTTACCGTGGTTATAATTTATAACAAATGCATTTTCAGTAGATTTAATAGATTTAATGAATCGTTATCTTAAAAGATTTGACTATATTGAAGTGTTCTGGTGTGCCTCACTCGGCAGTTTCACTGAAAACACGGAGAAACGACGAACTGCTCAGCCCCGTCGCAGATGCCGTCTGCATCGTAGCACTGTTTGGATTTCGCGCCCGGAAGTAACATTTAAACTCTCGTTTCTCCAAGACAATTATTTTCGAAAAGAAAGGAAGGAAATAAGAAAAAAGGCTCTGCCATTCATTATGAAATGTAATGGAGAATCTGGGTATATTTTTGTAACAGTGCCTTTCGGACATTCTGTGGTGAACTATTTAGTACTATACAGACACACACAAATAATCTAGAAATAAAAACTTTAGAAGACATTCGTCAAAGACATTAAATAATATATTCACTTTTATAAACTATTCGATTGTAATTTCCAATGGCGTCTCGTGAACAGATGTTCAGGGTAGGCAAAACAGATTACTGAACAGCAGTGGATCCCGGAAATAATGGCTATGTCCCACCAAACACAAATTTTATTCAATTTATTCAAAACAACTGTCTCAATGATATCATTACATTCCAAAGCACTATTTTCATGAAGCACGCGCAGACGTGACTTCTAGATAAAGAAGATTCTGAAAACGTGTTGTGAGTTAGTGTTACTCTAACAATAATTCAGAAATCGTTTTCAACTTTTTCCAGGCGTATAAGATTTACCGAATTTCATATGTAATCTTTTTGATATTTCATGTTTTTCTATAGCTTTTGATAATTTTTTGTGCCAAAATATCCATCTTCATTCCAAGTACTCTCCTTAATTGACAATAAAAGACATGGCTAACAATAAAACTTAGCATTAACTTCACTACCTGTTAGCTATTTGCGTTAATTATACCAAGAAATATTGAATTTACTTGCATTTTTGTCGCCAGCATAATGTACAACTTTACTTAACCGCTAGGTCGATCATTGTCCAAAATTTGTCTCTTTTCTACATTGTTAATACAAGAAAACCGTATATGTAGTAGTTCATTGATTGTATCTGTCATGATATTAACGTAAAATCAGATTTAAATATTAAAAAATCAAGAAGCACTAATACCAGAGAGCTACAATAAAATATTTAGCCGCAGAAAAAATATGTGATTGTTATGTAGTTCAATGCCCTGATGGCAATAGTGAAAACCATTTTTCGCTATCATCTAAACGTTCTTCTGGAAATGCAATTTTATCTGCACTCGGCTGCAATATTTATGTTGTCGCATATTTGTTATTTTAGGAATATTATAATTGCCTAGTGTTGGGAGAAGAGAGGGGGAGATAGGCACTGGGATAGGTAAAGGAAAGTTGTACTTGCATCAGTAAATCAATAGTGAGATCATCTTGAAGCATGTAAATCTGCTAATGTGAAGAATAATGGTTGTACATGTTCTTGTGTTTTTTGTACTCAATGATGCCTAGGTAGTCTGTTAATTTACCAGATCTTTTCTGTTGTGTGTAGCAAGATTAAAACTAAGTTTCAAAACCATCCCATTTCTCTGATTGCCAAAAAGACGTACGAGTTGTATTTTGAATCAAAGGTAGATGAGGCTGTGTTGGCCACCACAAACCAGTTGCACATGTTGCTTCTGCTATTTAAGAGGCTGGTTCAATGGATCACGCCTATCTATGCCATTTGCCGTGGAGGAAACCTAGAGGCCACATTACAGATTACTATTTTTGTTTAATGAAAATAACAGGAATCACAGTTTCAGCGGACTGGACAATGAAAGATGTGACAGACGATGGAAGTGACAAACCAACAGATCAGAAGATCGTGAAGATCATGATTACACGCCATCTGCAGCACGGCTACAACCACTGCCATTGTCGCAGACAGAATTAGACGATCTTGTAAGAGATCTAAATCTTTCAAAGAGGCAAGCAGAATTACTTGGGCCTCGTCTTCAAGAAAAGTACCTATTACTAAAAAACAATAGTATTACATTCCGAAAAAGACCGCTTAATCTTTCTTCTTTTTTCTCAATGACAGATAGTTTGGTGTACTGTAATGACATAAATGGGCTGCTTACAAAAATGCCGGATGATTCACAATTAGAAAGAATGGCGCCTATTTATAGACTAGTATCAAAGCCATTCTTTCACATAACGGAAACGAAACATAACGGAAACTTTTATACCTGTGACCTTTTCCGTTCAGTTAAAGGAAACCTTCGAGAACAAGAGACTATTCCTGAAGTATAGTGGCTATTCGAATCACAAATGGAAAATCTGTAGTGGTCTCAAAGTTCTGGGACTTGTTCAAGGAATGAACACTGGTTACACAAAATATTGCTGTTTCTTGTGCCACTGGGATAGTAGAGCAAGGAAAGAACATTATGTAGTAAAAAGAAAGAGTGACCCGTGATAGAAATTTTCAGTCCTGGTGAAAAATGTGTCGCGTGAATCCCTTGCCAACAAAGACAGTGTGCTACTACCACCACTCCATCTGAAATTGAGCTTTATGAAGAAGTTTGTGAAACCAATGGACAAAGATGACCAGGATTTTCAATTATTACTATCTAAATTTCCTGCGATTAGTAATACTAAAATTAAAGAAGTAATTTTTATTGGTCCTCAAATCCGTGACTTGATGAAAGATATTACCTTTGAACAGTTGCTGACAGATACTGAGAAGGCAGCTTGGCTTGCTTGGCTTGCTGCATTGAAAGATGTATGCGACAACGTCGTGAGAAACGTAATGTCTGAGAATTGTAGGGAGCTGACAACACATGGTGGATTATTGCAAGACTCTGGGGTGCAACATGTATCTGAAATTAATTTCCTTCGTTACAATTCGGATTTCTTCCCACCTAATATTGAAGGAAGTGACGAACGGGATAGCGATTTCACCAAAAAATCGCTGCCATGGAAAGACGACATAAGGGAAGATGGTCATCATTTTGGCGGATTACTGCTAAACATTCCTACTAGAAGTATCACCATCCACTCACAAAAGGAACATTTCCAGGAAAAGTTTTGTAACTTGTAAGTACATTACAAGCTTTATTCAGCTTTCTCGTACTGTGTTCATTTTATGTTTTGTACAAACAAATAATTTAACGAAAACAATTTTTGCGTTAAATAATATATGTTACTGGATATATAGATTAATGCACTACAGATTCCTCCTCTATTGTTATTGAATAGTTTCCAATTTTCTCGAAGGTGGTATATGTAGCGTATCTTTTCCAGAAAAGTTGGTAGGTGATGGAACATTTCTGATTTCATTTTCGCAATAAGCGTCTGTAATTTAAAAAGAACGCGTTCTTGTATCTCGCGACAAGACACGAAGTTCAAATTTGTTGTATTGTATAATCAGCAGAATACTAATTTAAAATTTAAAAAATCTACTACATCCTAAATAATAGGAATATAATCACGTTCACCGCTTGTTATCACGTCCACAAAACACTAAACACACGTAACGCGGCTTGCATGTGAGTGGAAATCGAAGTTTTTCGTGTGAGAGGGCGGCAAGAGAATTCGCTGGCCTACGCACAGCGTACATGCGTCAAGTATAAACACAAGCTACTGCCCTATGCTCACTACAGGCCCTTTTCTCAGAATGCGGTGCGAAGCGAGGCAAATCTAGGGGGTACCTACCCTGAGAAGTGTAAGTGGACGCATGTCTCTGAGGGGAGACGCGATACAGATAACATGGCGCACGGACTGTCAGAAGACACTTGAATTGAAAATATGGCTCATTCAGGACTCCTAACTTCGGATGCCCTGATGCATCAATAGTACCAACCCAGCTACGCTCCTAAATATGATCTTTGAGATAAGGTTTTTGTCTATTTGCTTTTAATGTTTTATTTAAGACCGCTAAAATTGCATTTGTAAAAAAAATACCTTTGGAGCAAGAAAACAAGTAAATATCAGCATATACTTTCTTTCTGACTTTTCGAAAATTTCGAATTCAAATAATGGCATAGTGATTGTGAGAACTTCTGTGACTTTGCGTCGGTAGTATTCGTTACACTTAAATTTCGCGCCTGGGTTTTTCCACGAGGTATATCGACTAATCGTACATAGTCGACGTACACCCTGTGACTTCCGGGACCTGTAATCAATAGTTCGACGAGATAGAATAAGTTGGCAGGAGGTTGGACGTATTACAAGGTTTATGTGGTTTATAGTGCTTTTGAGAATAGTGTTATAAAAAGTAATGAACATTTTTAATATATTTACGAAGTAAACTTCTTCACTTATCCACGTCATTCCTGTGAGTTCTTTCTGGGAACAAGGTTAATGTGTACTATGTATTTGTAAATCTTACCGGAATGTTCTTTGTGCTGTCAAACTACGATTATTTCGCACCAGAAAACTATTATTTTAAAATAGTTTTTATTTGTGTTTAACAGTAAGTGTGAAGACAACACATATCTTGTTTATAGGCAGTGTCATTTTACTTCTGGATCTTCTAGGAGCTCGACTGTCAAATCGCTGTCAACGTGTGTAATAGAATTAAGTAAAACAGATTTTATGTCAAATTCTTGAAACTGGATGTTCAGAAACAAAGTGGATTACTGACGTAATTCTCACTTATTTTGTGTTGCTTTGTCATTGTGAGTTGGTTTCGTGAATCCAGTTTTAGTGCCTGTCACCCGAAATCGTTTGGAGAATTCGTGTCATGTAAACATTTAGTGGTCACAAGATAGTAATGAGCAATGCTCTTTATAATTCGTCTAATTTTGTACAGCTAATAGTGCAGTTCTTATAAGTAAAGAAATCAAATGACATGTGAGTGTTTTTTCTTACTTGAAACTTTTGCAGATTTGTCTAATAAGAAGCAACACATAATGGAAGGCAACTACAGTGGATTTTCTTTATATCACAATGGAGGGCCAAGAAGAGAAAATGATTTTGGGAAACTTGCTCAGACTGTTGGCACTAATATTCAGAAAATCTCACAAAATGGTAATTTTGTTTTATATTTTATGATTATGTAATGTTTCCTTGTTCTGATGTTCTTTTTTTGATTTCATGTTGACTTCTGTAAATATAAGAAACTCTGTATTTGCAGATTTATAATGTTAATTGTTTCCAAAAATTCCTCGGTGATGAGTACACAAGTAATAGATGTGTTTATCTTGTCATGATATTTTATTGTGAAATTTGATATGGTGGGTGACGAATTGTGTTTTTGAAGCAATGATCAACTGAATAATCTATTTGCCATTTATTTAAAAAGAGGCTTTCAGGTGTAAATAATGATATGACATTTTTAGGTAAAATCAGGATCAACAATTATCAACAAATAGCATTTATTATTCCCTTGTAAATTATGATTTTTGCAGCTAATTTTGTGTAAACTTGGTATTCTATTGTGTGAAGTGTGAATATTGTATTTTCATATGAAACATGAAATGTCAGATTCCATTATTTACACTGGAAAGACTCATTAAATATTATATTGCTTTTTACTAGGTTGTTTACATATGACATTCACATTAATAAACTTGATAAAAGACAAAAACAAGCAATTTATTGGAAAAATATTATTTAAAGGTAAGGGTGTAATTCAAATGAAATCAACATCTGGAGTTGACAGGTTATGTAAACTTGTGCTCATAAATCTCAGGGGGTTTATTTTGATAATGTTAGTCTTTCAATTTAACCTGCATGTAGGTTTTAGAGCTTACAGAATTTTGATCTGAGATGGATTTTGTCAATGTTGTTGTCAGTCTCTGTATTTTTTTCCAAAGCAAAAATACATATTTACTATCAGGATTGAAAAACAATTGAAGAACAAAGGCCCTTCAGAACAGGGTAAAAATGTTTTTATGAATTTCACGCAGCATGTGAAACGTTGTCAAAGAATTAATTTTCTAATGTCATTAAATAATAAAATCTTCTCTGTACTTCAATTTTTGTCTTTTGGTAGTTGTTTCAAACTTGAAGAAAATTTAGTTACTTTATTCTATCAGGCGTAATTCACTTTGGGAGTATACTCGAGTATTACAGTATGTTGTTTATTAATAAATATTCAGTTGTTTATCCAACAAGGTGAATATCATTGTATAATTTCTTGAATTAATGTATGTACACAAAGCATTCACCTGTTAATATAATGGAACATTTTAAAATTTTTGCAGAAAAACTGCTGGTAAGTTTTATAGTTATCTTTATTGTTATATCACTTTCTGCTTTTTTAGTTTCATCTATGCAGCGTATGGTTAATCAGTTGGGTACCCCTCAAGATTCACAAGAACTACGAAGTCAGTTGTAAGTATTCTTTCTAATTATTTTATCAAATGTATTACAGTAATTTACTTAATGTGAAGATTTGTGATGTAGTTAACTAGTGCTTCTAACAATTAATTGTGAAGGAGAATCCTTTTAATATTTTTTGGACTGTTTGTTTTTGGAAACAATTAGTTTAACCCTCTAAGGGGGGACACTGTTGCCAAGAATACAATGCAAGCTAATTTTTTTGTTTATAACAATGTTAATTTTGCAAAATATTACAAGAATTTAAGTTTTGTTATGGATATAAATTGGAGAAAAATAATGACTTTTCGGAAACAAAATATTATAACAAGTGTTAACAATAGTGACTCACAACAAGAAGTTTCTGATAATGACATTAATATTCATCAAGGCCATTAGATTAGTTGGATTGTTAACGTCTATATTAGCTCTATACTCATTGAAAGTTTGTCTAAGGATTGTTTGCATTTGGTGTCAAATGTACAACATCCACTGATTATAGAAAAATGAGCACACCTGCTGGTACGTTAAGAAAAACTCTGAAACATAGAGATTGTTTGTTTTTTATATCCTTTATGAACATTCCACTGTGTATCTTTGTATCCATATGCTCTTGAAAATTTCCTTTCATTAATAATTCTTTATTGTTATTAAAATGAGATTTAATTTCAGCTTGAGATGTATATATTAATGGACTTGAAATTTTTTGCATAATAGTATTTTTTATTCCTATTGTTCAGAAGTCTTATCTGCTCTGCTTAAACCTAGAAATTAACTTCAAATAGATTTATTTGGGATTGTCAGCAGTCAAGTAACACTAGAAAAATCAGGAAGTTTTTGGGAAATGTAAGGGAAGTTTTGCTCTTGTATTACATTTATTATTCAAATTATACTTATAGTAATGCTCTTGAACTACATAAGAGCATGATTAAGACATTCTCATAAGAGCAAAAGTGTCATGCTGCTTTCTGCATATTCACCTAAAACAACTATGTTCTCTTGTGACTGTTAAAAGTGAATGTATTCTTGAAGATCATCTACAGAATTGTAAGGAATGATATTAACATGTATTGTATTGAAATTACACTTCTGGAATTGTAAGGCATTTTCAGTCTTTGAATTTTGCTGGCTACCCTATCAAAAATATCCCATGTCCTAAACTCATAAAATGATAAATAGAGACTTATTATTATTATTATTATTATTATTATTATTATTATTATTATTAATAATAATAATAATAATAATAATAATAATAATAATAATCAATAACCAATTAACTTAACTATTTTGAAAAAATACAAGTGCAACAATCATTGATTAAAATATTTTGTGATTTAAAACTATGTGTAATCTTAGTTCTTGAAGAGCTAGAAACTTTCTGTATTCTGTTTCATAATGTTGCTGTTTAGTACAATAACTTATTTAATATGAATTCTTATTTGAATCTTTTACTTATGAGGAGTAATCTTTCTCCTTTTGTCTTAGTCCTTACTGTTTTCAAGGCTGTTGTGGGGATTTCAGAAATACCAGTTATTAATTACTAATTATTTTGAAAGACCTTGCGAACAGTGCTTTTTAGAACTTCAGAGCTTTTGCTTCAATGAGTGTACTATGATCATATGATGAGAAAACTTTTGGAAATCTAAATAAAATGCTGAAATTACAATAAACACTTTGGAGATTGTTGTTTTTACTGTTAAAAATTGAGATGTAATTGTCTCTTTTATTGAGATTGTTAATATTTTTTTAAGACCCAAGTTTATCTCCAAAACTAAATTCAAGTTATGTGTTAGACTTGCATTACATTGGGTATACGTAAAACTAATGTTAAAGATAAGGTTTCAATACTGAGATAAGGCATCAACACTAGTTAAAGATGAGGCTTAAACTTGCATAATATATACAATTATACACAACTCAGAAGAAATTATATTTTGGAGATGTGAGCAACTGTGCTTAGATCAAAAAGAAAGAACAATGCTTTTCTATCTTTTCTTTTGAAGAAACATGTGTTATTTAATAGTTTTCTGTTGTAGAGTGCATTGTTCATAAATATAATATATGTATATATCTGAATAAAATGTAAGTTTTACAGTTCTAGATTTGTTTGGCATTGTAAAGATATGTTAGTGCATAAAAATCACAATGTGTCATTATGTTTCATTAATTATACCATTATCTGGTTGTTAAATTTGTTTTAAAAATTGATGTTTTATTTCTAGGCAACAAATACAGTCTTACACACAGCAGCTGGCCAAGGATACAAACGCAAGCCTGAAAGAGTTATCAAGTATTACAACAGCTAATCCAGACCAGGTATTAAAGCATATTTGTAGTCAAGAATCAATGAATTATTGAGAACATGGATGCAAGTTGTGAAACTTTCTTAAGAGTTGTATGTGTCAGTCAGTCTGTCTATGTGAAGAATGTATATCTGTCTGTGTGAAGAATAAATAATGAATACAATGTGCTAGTAAAAAAGTATATTCGAAGTAATTTTTAAATGTTATTAATATTATACATTACTTCATGAAATCCAGAATCAGAGGAACAATGGAGTGTTTGGTTGTGGCTAGTTTTTTATTAGCAGCAATCTCATTGCAGTAGAAATGAATGTCCCCGATGTCATAGACATATCAATACTATAGACTTAAGTAATAAGAAGTGATTTTAATATTTCAGACACCATTTCTGAAAGTGAATCATCCTTTTTCTATATTCTTATATTTAAATGTGCATATTCATCTTGCCTACCGATTTATAGTGTTGATTTTTTTAAATTTAATTCTATACTATTGTGAATTAACATACACTTTGTAACAACATACATAAGTTACAAGTACAGCTTTATGGTTATTTTATAATTGAGCATTCATTATGAATGACGTCGTTATGAGTTTGCTAATATTAATATGAACTGTTCTGTTGTTTTCGAAGTATCTTGTGCTTCTTTGCATTCATTTTGGTTTTTCTCATTTAATTAGTAGTTTCAGAATTCATTATCATATTAAAGAAATTTAGCCAACTTCTTTTGTTTTCATTTAATAAAGAATAATTTTATTGATAATTTACAAGTTTGAATTATTAGCAGCATTAAGCTGATTAAAAGATTATTTCAACTTAATTTTAAATTTTCATTTGTCAGAGGGAATGGAAAGCCCAGAAAGACAGACTTGCTGATGAGTTCACTACAGCTCTTAATTCCTTCCAAGCCTCACAAAGAGATGCAGCCCATAAAGGCAAAGAACAGATTCGGCGAGTGAGGGCCAGCTCTGGAATAGGTGATCCATTTGGAGGTAAGTTTCAGTTGTAATTTAAAAAAAAAAAAAAACAAATAATGAAGTTTGCAAACAAACAAAATGTTGAATTTTTTAGTGAAGAATTTTCTCTGTTGGAACATAGTGTACCATATTCTCTTGTATTTATTTTTCATTGGGCACATGAGAAATGGTGCAAATTAACATAAACAAATGATCAGAATTTGCTCTTTGCTAAAAAGTTGCAACTATTTGTTTTTGACATTATTTGCATGTGTGCTCGGCAGTCATCATCTTTTGTTGATCACCCTCTTGTTTCGTATCTTTCTCTTGTATGTGAATCAGGTTTTGTATCGTACATTCAATTTTTTAACCAAAGGTCCTATAAACAAATTCTATTAAAAATAAAATGATCAAATATCCAAAAGTTGTTGCTTCATTCACGTAAGTCGGACTAAGGAGTTACAAAGAACGTGTAATTTTGAAACAGACTTAATAAAGTAGTTGTGCAGACCAGAAAATATTGTTAGTAAAAATAGTGTTTGCCTGTATGAATGTGTATATTTTATTTCTCACGTCACTGCAGTACCTTCGACCGGGAGATCCTGGAGTTCTAGTCGGGTGGAAGGATTTTCAACACTGACTAGATAGCTAGGACGAGTTCAGCTGCTGTCTGGAGGAGAATTCTAGTGGCTGGCTGCTCTGATTGGTAGTTTCTCGTGATTTCTTCGATCAACACTAGATGAGTGCCAGAGCAGAACCCTAACAAAAAGGCCAAGGATCGCACACCATCTTACCTATTTTTTAATTACCCCAGTGTACCCCGTTATTACTTCTTTAGGAGGTAATGGAAAATACTCACTGATTGATCTGTTTAATGTGTCAAATGCTTTGACATATTTCTCAAAGAAGATATGTATGTTTGAGTTGATTCCCTTGTGCATTTCCTTAATTTACTGCAGTAAAAAAATATACCTCTGTCACTCCTATCTTCAAGGATCTGTCAACATTATTTTCACCATAGATCATGAATTTCAATCTCTGAACTACAATTTTTGTATACTGTAAATTTTGTTTACTAAATTCAGAAGACGAATCCCTCCATTTTTTGAATTTCGATCCAACCCTTTAAGGAACATCAAAGTGAATTAGGGAGACCCTGAAGGTGCCACCAGGAGAAATTGATACAGTTTTACTCACTTTTGCATAATACATTGTAGTATTTTTTAAATATTCTTAAAAATTTTAATTTTTGTACATTGTTGAGTTGGAGGTGGTCTAGGTGATTCTTGGATAATTGCTGTATAAAATCAGTTTTTGAGTAAGTTTCTTCGCTAATCGTGAAGATCCAAAAAATTTTGTTACATATATAATTAAATAATTTTAAAAATTCAATTATGTTCATAAAAGTCGTAAAGTGACTACTGATTTTTGTAAAAGGTCTTTAAGTAAACATAATTTTTGAGATAATAACACAGGAAAATATTCAAACTTTAAAATGATTAGCCTATGAATGATGTTATCAGCATTATGATTAAAAGTTTGCAATCTTCGGGAATGGAGTCCACATATGTTAAGAATTGTTGTAAAATTCTCCATGTGAATATTAATTAGAGTTTTTCTGATTGTTTTAAAAGAATGGAGTGACTGAATTTGTCACGTGTGAAGGGTGCAATGGAAACCAATCAGAATTCACCAATGAATTTCACAGCAATTGCAAAGTTTGAAAATGCTATATAATTCAATGGAAAATGTTTCTTTTCTCTTGCAATTTATTGCAGACTTTTTTTTTCATTTTTCAATGTGTTAGACTAGTACTCGGTCATCCAAGCAATTTAAAATGTCATCCAAGTGGATTTTGATAGTTTTTTCTTTGTACTCTTTACTCGTACTTCTTTGTATTTTAAGTTTGCTTAACACAAGAGACAATATTCCATTGGTGACAAACAGTGTTCACATGTTCAATCCAACGGTTTCAATTGGATGAATGGAATGCAGCATCTTTCAGAAATATTCTGGCTCAAACAAGATCCTTAAAGCTCGTGGATAATCTGTCACTCAGTATGAAATTAAGACTGTGTGCAAGAAATCATGTTTGATGGCTGTAAATTGGTTATCATGTAAATGCCTTTTCACTGTTTGTAATTTGATACTTAATCTTAATACTGAAATATTGTGCAGATGCAATACCATAACCACTGTAGGTCAATCTATTTAACTGTGGTTTTTCATTTTTTAAATTTTTGTCACCCCCGAAATTATGATTTAGTTTGTGTAATTGTTCATATTTTTTGTTTAATTACTCCTATTATTATTATTATTATTATTATTATTATTATTTATTATTATTATTCCATACAAACATTATTGAACTATTAAATTTTATAATTAAGAAATCATAAAGTTTCGTTCTCGCAGGTGGGAGATTTACTGATGAATTAATTGAATTGCAAGATAATTCCAGTCGCCATCAGGCCCAAATTCAAGAAGAAATGAACTTGCAGATGCTGGAAGAACAAGAACAATCTATTCGAGAATTAGAGGTAAGAACATTTCTATTCGCTGTATACTAATCTAGTTAGAACTTCCCTCTTCATGCAGGTGTACGGACAATATACTAATGATAATTGAATTAAAATTTTTATACCTTCCTTTGATAATCTAAAACATATGCATTTTGTTAGTACTTGCTAGCAGTTTTCTCTGCATTACAAACTTGTAATTGGTGATGTTTGGGCTCCAATGAGGTGCTGTTTGTCTCGTTTTGTACATGTCTGTGGTACAAATTTGAAAACAAAAATTTAAAAGCCAGTAGGAAATCATCATACCTGATTTTGGTTGCTTTGAAGAGAAGTATTTTGCATTCGGCTTCATTCCAAAAAAGTAACTTGTGGCAACTATTACAAGATTCTCCTTCTTTTTAACACAAATATTATGGGATTATGGATTAAAAACTATTAGAAGATTTGGTAAGGAACATTTTCTCTTTAAAATGTCATTTTATGTTTATGTTGATTTAAGATTTGAGCGTCAGTGAATATTCATTGTTTCAATGGTATTGTCAGATCCGCGGATCCCACAAATTAATTTTGTAATTTGGCATATTAATTCTTTCTCTACGAAACTAGAAATGGAAATGACCTCTTCAAACAACTTTCCTCAAGATTGTAACTGAAAGACAAAAATTAAATCCATTTCATTTTTCTTAAGCCCCCTACATCGAATTTCCTAAAAGTCTGCAGTTCTTAATAAAAAGGGAGTCATTTTCAAAATACTAGTATTATTTTGTTTGTAAGAATCAAAATTTAGAGCAAAAGTTGTGGAAACATAATATGAAGAAATAAACATGAACCTCCTATTAAATCAAAAATTTGCAAGCATGCAATAGTGATGTACGAGTCATGTCGAAACATTCTGTTTATAATCCACTAAGTTAGTCTGCAGTTATTTATACTTAGCCAAGTATAATGTTCATTGCAGTCATTTATACTTAACAAAGTACGATGTTCAACAAATGTTCTGACAATTCCTTTCTTTAAAAAAAATAACAATCCCTTGAATGCAAATATTACACTAAACTTTTTAGCCATGCCTGAATGTTTTAATGAATAGTGGTACTGAAAGTGTGCTAACATTTGATGGGTATATTAAATGCACGGACTTGAATTTTCACGCTATAATAAAAAGATTAACATTAAAGATATTCTAGATTTCCAGTGATCCACACTCCAGTCTGCTAGGGCAAATCAGCTTCCTCTCACAAATTTTGAAATGTTACTGACCATAGGGGAGTAGTAGTAGATATGCGAGTAAGTAACAGCACAGGAAAATTGGCACAAAATTGCAGAAAAAGAAATTTCATCTGGGTCAAATCTGACCTGCCTGTATCAGTTGGAGATAATAAAGAATGTTTAACATTCACTGCCAAGTGCATGCTCGTCGTATTATTCCAAGATAAATCAAATTTTACACAGGCAGTTATCAAGTTGGCGTGTGGGACCGTATATGTACTGCAGTGCCCTTTCTTATACTACCCCTTAATGCCAATGTTAGTGGATGCTCTCTCAAGTGAAGTAATCTGTACTAATTAAATGTACTCATTTACACTGTATAGTGTCTAAACGTTAACAAGGAAGTTAATAAATCACTGACAGGTGAAAACTCTATTGAATATTCTTACATTAAAATATGTGATTGCATGAGACCATAAGGTCTTGTACGCAAAAAAAGGAAAAAAAGAAAAATGAAAAAAATGAACTTCCATTATGAGACTATATGGTCTCACATTATAACCAACATGATAAATAATTTTTGCTTCATATGTGATTTTTCTTACCTAATTATGTGAATAACTTTGTTTTCACTTTTCTTGGTTAACTGATTTGTGCATAAAACCATCCATATGTACAGGATAACTCAAAGTAGGACATATGATGAAGGTTAAATCCACGTAAGAGACTAGCAATGAATACCAATCCAAAATACATGAGAACTTACTTTTTTCTGTCAGAAAGTGAGTAAATTAGCTGTAGGATAATTTTTAATAAGACGTATTGAACAAAACTGGGTTCTATTGTTGCACATGATTTGCAATGTATATATTTTATTTTATGCCATGTTATTTTATTTAATTTTAGAGCAATATTAGTGACATCAATCAAATTTTCAAAGAACTGGGTGCTCTTGTCCATGAACAAGGAGAAGTAATAGATAGTATAGAGGCCAGTGTGGAGAAGACAGAAGTATATGTAAGTGAAGGTCACAATCAGCTCCGTCAAGCCAGTAATTATCAGGTATGATAAATTAAGTTGAGGGAACATTCGGTTGGAATGCAGGAGGAAGAATGTGTGTTTTATTATTTGTTATTTTATTTTTCAGTCTAAAGTTCGAAGGAAGAAGTGTATATTGGCTATTTGTCTGGCAGTCATCTTGTCCATAATTATTGGGATTATTATTTGGAAGACTTCATGAAGTCATGTGAGTTGTATGTTGTTTAATAATTCTGGAAGAAAAAAATTTATGATTTTGTTAATTCATAAATACAAGTGGACAATACAAAATGTTTTCAATAGTATGGCACTTTCTGTGTAATATGTATTTTAAAGCAGTATTAAGAATGTGCACTTCTGAATGAACTCTAGATAAAGGAATGTTTTTTATTGAGCAGTAAAAGTTTTTGTATGTTAAAAATATTACAAATGTTTACAAAATCATTCCATGTCTCACACTCATGTTTTTCTTCATTGCATTAAAATGAAATTCATGTAAACATCTGTAGATGAAGTCTTTTGAAAGAAATATATTTAATATTCAGTAGACATTGGAAAATGAATTTGTTGAAACATAGACATTTTTACGACTTGTTTTACTTCTTTTATAGGATAAGTGAAACATCTGCACATATGAAGCTGGAGAATTTCTCCTTCATATATAATGAACATGTATATACAGAATGTGGTTGAAATTTTGGGTAAATGTACCCTAGAGCAATGTTATATAATAAAATAATTTGTATATACTGTCTATCAAGTAAATCAAAAGAATTTTGTATTGTATAAACATTAATTGCTGCAAGACTTGTATAAAAATAGGAACATTGGATAAAATTTTGATATTCAAACTCTCAGATATTAAATATTGTACGTATAGATACAAATCTGTATTTCCACTGTGTACATTATAAATGTCACTTGTTTATTGATATATCTGTATAATTATAGTTGCTAAGTGAATCTGCCTTGCAAAATGATATTAATAAAAAAATGATACCGGCAGTAATGGATACACAGTTGGTAATAATGATGAAGATAGTGAGTAAGCTGTTATATTTGTTCTGTGACGGTTGTAAATTTCTGAAAATATTTTGGTATCAGATTCTAAATATGATGCTGAAATGTATGGCAGTTGTGTCATTGTTCTTTGTTACATTGACATAGAAGAATGATGTGAGAATGACCAAGTAAAATAAGAATGACATAAAGGACTATTTTTGGAACCTATGCTTACACCTGTCTGATTGATTTTCAATGCATCTTTTAGTTCCTTAAGTTTAGTCATAAGAGTTATAAGAACATTATGATTTCCATGGGAGATTGTCTTCTATTCACAATATATTATATAAAACCAACTTAGTTTCCTTTATTGTAAAAGTTGTGTTCAAAAATATGGGGCAAGTTTACAAACATTCCAGACAAAAATTAGTTTTAAAATTTCCATTATGCAGAAATGATGAGCATGAATGTCCCTATACCATACACAACCCAATACATGCCAATTAGATCCAAATCCTTGATGTACTGGATGGTGGAGGGTAATGAATGTATATAATAAAGTAGGTAATATATAATTGGAAGGCTAAGAGGAAGATCATAATAGTTATTTTTATATTAAGGGAGTGAATTAATTGTTTTTGGTAATGATTGAGATTTTTTAGTGTAGTTTTTTTTATTCCAAAAGTTAAGGCTAAATAATTGAGATCGAAATAAGAAGCACTTATAATTTCACTCACGAAATATAAACATTTTTTCTATGATCGTATGAAAATGCTTGTTTTAGAATCATATGTTTCATCTCTTAAGTCTTCATTGTTTACCCTGTTCACATTTGTTAACAAACGGAAGAAACGAATGTCAGGGAGTGTAGAGGAGATGCGAGATAATGAATGGTGTGTGGTGAGGATGGACAATGAGGACATAAATGTGCATAGGTAACGATGGTATGCCAAAAAGTCTTGCACTGAGATGTCACTTGTGAAAGATATTTTTTGCTCTCGGATGTCATGTTTTTTAATGTCTTCATAAAAGACTAACTTCACACAGACTCAGCGGTGTAGAATCACTCTTTTAATGTGATTAAGGAAAAAATTATTTTGTTTTCTATTAAAAACACATAAACAGTATCCGAAGAAAAAACTTAACTTCCATATACTGAAAGTAAAACTCCTCGTCTTTATAAATATCAAAATGTTTTACGGTTCATAATGTTAATAAATTTTGGGGCCTTAGATTTAGCAAGTTGTATACAAAATGTAATTTTATTAAAATTTTGTTTTCTTTATTGCTTTATGCACTAAGACTGCAAGTTCTGACTGATAACAAGTAAAGATATACAATGGTAACAAAAATCTTTTTAACAGGCAAATATTGCATCAATTTTGCTTTTAGTGATAATTTAGTATTATTTTGCAGGTATTAGCTGCTAAAAAGTTTTCCTTCAAAAGCTATAATAAAAAAACTATTGACTTAACGAATGAACCCCATCTTCCTACCCCTTTTTTATCATTTTATTTAAGAAATATTCATACTATAAAAATTTGAGTGAATAGTCATTTAACTTTAAGCAATTTTCATAATTATTGCTGTACTTAATGTACTATGGACTGAAGAAAAAAATACTCTTGAAAGAACCTATCTTCCTCTTATCTTGGATCATCTCTGAATAGAAAGAATCAATTTGATTTCCCTATTACATAGCTAAAATTATGTTGGTGTGACATTTTTCCAGTTTTTTTTTCTTTACTTTGGACAAGTTTCATCATATTCTTACAATGTTTTGACTTAATACATTTATCCCACTGGTTTCTGCTCTGACATCTGATTTTATCCTTCTGATTACCGCTTGGACTATTGTTACATTCATTAATGTTGTATGTTTATGTCTGTATTACATACATTAATAATGTTTTATTAATGGCCATTTATTAACATTATTAATGTTATGATGTTCACTTAGCAGTTGTCCATAAATTATGTATTGCTTAAAAAGGGGGAGGGAGTGTGAGGCAGAGTTACACTGCATTTCAAAAGGTAGTGAGGTGATAGTTTAGTGTTAGGTCACTGATATGTATTTTTTTATATTTCAATATTTACTGAATTAATTCTTTTTGTTTGGATCTATACTAAAACTAAGAAAACATTGAAAGGTTAAGTAAGTAAATTAAAAAATATGTAAATAAATTAAAAAGTTATGATGAATAAATTGTTTAAATAAAAGATAAAATTTTGACCCAGTGGCATATTAATTGAATGTTATTACAAAGATCATAATATTCAAAATCAATCTATATTTCCTTCTATTCAATTAAATTAGTATAGGAGACCCCTGGCCATACATATTCTATACATTTGTCTGCCTGGCTTCTTGACAGGAATCGCATGTGTTCTTCCATCCTTCAAAATGCACCCCACTCTGTTAGATGCAGCCAGCACTAACTAATTTTGTCACTTGGTAACATTAGTTTTGTTAGTTGCGCAATTGAATGTGTTCATTTATTGTCTGAAGTGCATGCGAATAGCATTTGAAAAAACAGGGTCTTAACCTCCATCAATGTGTTCAGAGGTTTATTTGATCAACACCAGGTATGAGCTGGAGATATGCCCTAAACAGGCTACAGACTGCACAATCTTTCCTTCTTCATCCTTTTCCCCCTCCTGTCCCCCTACAAACATACACACACTACTCTACCACATGTCAGGAGAAAGGTCAGGAGCTTAAAATTGCCCAAGCTAGTGGCGCCCTGCTGGGGTAGATTTGTAGAGAGGTCATCCCCACAAGTCGACTTGTAAATTGGCACCAGATTCCATGTTCCATTGGGAAAAACTGCCACCTTCAATAATATAACATTCACTACACTTACATTACTAATATCGTACGTAGTTGACATGCTCAGAAATAATAATTATTCAATCCTTTTTTTTATGGTAAAACTGATATGATATTGCATTACGTGTATTTTAAGACTATCCAAAATCATCAAAATTTGCATTACATAATTTATGGACAACCCCTTAGTAATTTTTGTTGTGAACCTTAGTAGAAATGCATTTTAGACACCTTAGTAATGAAATTCCCAAGTTGTGTTTATTAATATTTTTGCCCACTTTACTTAGGTAGTCAAACTTCAGTTGATTCAGTTTGATTCGTAATGAAGTACTCGACTGTGGTACCTTAGTGTGGTGAAGTACTTCATTGCGATACTAGTGCTGGAAAGTAATGGCAAGAACTACTAAAAATTTACCAGAAACAGATGTGAACATAAAAATAATCTGTACATTAGAAATATTCTGTACGTTATCCTGAAGTAAAGTTAAGATTGATAGACCATGAATATTATTAGTGTTGCATTATGTATTTAGGATTGATCCTTAAATGAGATTTAATTATTTTATGAGAAGGTGAAGAATGGGTCCCAAGAACTGTTACACAAGCTCTTGCTTTACTTGGAAATAACCAAACTGGAGCTCGTGACAAAATATCTGTCAAGAAATTTTCCAAGTGGCCTCTGCTCATTCTTTATTATTTTTAGGTACAGTTTTCAAGAGAAATAGAAATGTCTGGAAAAAATAATTGGATATTTGCTAGTTGATTTCATTATTAAATGATATGTGTAGTGTATAGTATTTATACCTATTGCATGTGATATGCTTTTGTCCGCTATGTCCATTTTGGAACAGAAATCTCGATAAAAATATTTTCTCATACTAGTATTTTCTCTTAGGTTTTTATTACCATTTTCCTTCATTACTATCTGAATATGTGATAGAGATTAAATCTACCTGCATACTGTCTTCCTTCTATTTTACTTGCATGAAAACTATGCTCAGATTGAAGACATTGTATACAAGTAGTAACTTGTTTTGTGTGTTGAAAGAATGAGGTGAATTTATTGGTTTAGAAGAACATGAGATGTGGTTTGTAGATAATTGAAAATATGGAATTTTAAATTTGCACTTTTTGTTTTTGCTACATCTTGGTTGTTTTCTTAACTCCTTCCAAATCCTAATAATCTGACCTTACTGTGTGTTGAAAATATGTAGAAATCTATCATTCTAGACAGGTACAACAACAGGGTAAATGTTGGCCATTGCAATGGAAACCATTGCATTTATGGTACTTCTCCACAAAATAATTTTCAAGGCAAAATAATACAAGTGATTGTAGGATTTATTTTTACCTAAATTGTTTTAGAATAGATAATTCCTATTTAGAAATTTTTTTTTAAATATAGGTGCTAACATGTACAACTGAAAAGTATAGTGACATAGTCCTGCTTTTTAATTTAATTTTCAATTTCAAAGACTTTATCTCAAAACTAACTAAATGACACTTGTAATCATTTTCTTCCTAGTGCCTCAAATATTGTAACTAAATGTATTATTTAAGTAGCAAAAGATTCTGATTGTAGCCAACACTGCTACAACCAACTTGTGCCACCACTGCTATTGCAAACTCAATATTAAACAGTTATATGAAAAATTATTTAAAAAAGAAATCAAGAATATCCATTGTCTGTTATAGTGGTGTTAAACCACCCCACCATCCTGCCTGCCTCGAGCACTATTGTCGATCTCCCTGTGCAGGCCCATACACAATAGAGATACATATCAGTTTTATCCTTCTGAGTAAACAGCCAATAATGTGACCATAACCTTTTGGTCCCCAGTTTTCAAGGTTATGTGTTCAAGGTTTGGTCGGTAGTCTGTGCATATAAACCTGTACCAGGTACAATTAATTGTTGCATGAAAATTCTAAAAGAGCTAAATGTCATTTTTGTCAAATTGACATTGCCGTAGCAATAGGGTTACCAGATCGCCAAGAGATAGAAAAGAGTACGTACCTCATTCGTAGGATGAAAAAGAGTTCGCTCTGTTGCTTGTCAGGGAATACAACCAATGATTTTACATTTTTTTAATAGTCATTATTTTATGTATTTTCATTCTTAATGCTCTACGTGTACAAGTATGAAGCTGAAGAAATCCTTTTTCTGTTTGCCAATTTAAAATTTTTTATCTAAGAAGAGGTTTTACCTACCAAGTAAGAAACTAAGCTTTTTCAGCCAGTTTTCCAATTTTTATTTATTAACGAAATTAAACACTGGTGTAGTAGGTAACAAAAAAATAGTCATATACTGGGTGAGCTACAATACATAAAAGAAATACATAAAAATATGGTATTTGGAGAAATAAGCATACCACAAATATTTTCTGAATTCTGGAGACAGGGTTCATAAAATTGGGTAAAGTCAATAAAGCTGAATTGTGTCAGTTTTTAACTGATGTACATCAGCCTGTTTTTCTCTGATGTCCACTGGGCCTTTACAAGACTAACATCTCTTTCCACAACTGAGCAGATCACATACTTTCAAAATCTGATAACCAATGTTTCATCTCGATTTGCATTTAATTTCGATTCAGACAGCTAGTAGCACCTCTGGATTAAGATATAGAATGAATTAACAACTAGAGATCAAATACGTGGAACAGTTAAATATTTATTGGGAAAATTTATATACGTTTTTCCAGAAATTATAATTATTAAAATTAATTTATAGAATTATAAAACTAGTCTACAATAGCACATACTTTCTCTCATTTCTATTTTTTTCAATATTGGAAAATTCAGTGTGTTCAACAAAAGTGAGACCTGTGCCAAATTTGTTCCTTTGCTCTATCCAATGTAATTATATAAAGAAAAATATGGGGCTGCTTGTGAGATGTTGTTTCTTTTAGAAATTTCATTAACTTCAAGCAGAAATACTGTAAAAACTACTCAAGTTTTCAAAAACTTTACCTTTTTTAAAGATATAATTTTTTTGATTATTTTATTTGATACAAAAATCGTAAACTTCAATATTGTTCTTGTACAATGTTAATTTTTGACAATTAAATTTGCCGAAATTTTCTTTATTTTTTACCGTTCTTTGTAACATACGAGGACACAAATTAACGAACAATTTTGGAGCCGTTTTTAATAAAATGTGTCTAAAAATTGCCTACTTTTCTCGCAAAATTACCCGAATTACTCGTCTTTTCAAAAATTTGTGCATGACATTATATCAAAATCTGTCTTTGAACAACAGATTTCGTTGAGAAATAAATTCTTTACAATATTGTAGTTGGGGCGCCGAAAAAATTTTGAATGATTTCAATTTCCTATGATTCAGAGAGTTCAACGAAAATGTGACCTACGCTATTTCTTCAAGCGTCTTTTGCTCAGAGAAAATATCTTTTGCGTCAGAGGAAAAGATTTGGATCCATTTTTGAGAAAATTTTGAAAATGAGGTTGCATGTTAAGTACCTCAAAATCAATATATCCGTTTCATATTGGAGTGGCCGCGACAAAAGTTAACTCGATTGGGGAATGTCAATTTTCGTGAAAAACTGTTTCCGGTTTAGCCGCTAGCGTTTTTTAGCCAGACTTTTTGCTGTCAATCTATTTTTCGACATGGACCTGTGGATTCTGACTACACGTGTTAGAGGAAGTGTATACTATATACATATAGGGAAAATATGTATCCACTTTTTCTTTTCCAGGGCCCGCCAATAAGAGTTTTTCTGGCGAAAATTCGCCGTCCCCCCCCCCCCGCAGCATTACAATGCGTTTCTATACTGCGTAAGCAGTAGACGAGAAAGTAAAAGAGTTCGAAGTAGGATGCGTTGTAGAAAGGTGTGTCAAGCTGGAACAGCCATTCAGCACACCCCAATGAAACATATCAAATAATTTATTGCCAATTAATTGCCACGTATTTTTGTTACAAAAACGGGTGTGAACACACAAGTTAAATTCGGATAGTAGCTCAACGGTAACCCTCGAATAATTTAATGCTAATTAATTGCCACAATTTGGAAGTAATTGCCAGTGTAATGAATTGTATTTGTTTATGAGTAATGACGGAAATTAAAAATTAAAAAACGATCTAGTGATTTGGGGTGACTTTGTACCATAAAACTGTGTTTTTGTATTTGTGAAACCAAAATAATTGTTTTACATTTTTGATGAAAATTAACAAATGTTAGGTAGCTCCAGAGGTATGTTTTTAAATACAAGCAGTTAATTTTAAGGTTTCTTTATTAGGTAGGAGAGGGAGTTTGTGTGGTACAATATCTCCCTCCAAAGTAGGGCGACTTGCCCGCTTCGGTCTTATGAGAATTTAGGCGAATTTGAAAGGATTAACGGATAGGGTGTCTGTCCATTAGGCATGATCTTTCGGAAATCCAAATTCGTCAA